GGTCCTAGTTTGAGTTTCTAGTTCTGAGTCTAAGTCTAGTTTATCCTGTTTATTGCCTTAGTAATTTCGTGTTTTGATCCTAGCCTGTATATCTCGTTTCTGTATGATCTCTGCCTGCCCTGAAGTATATCGCCTGTCCTGGATTACCTCTCTCATCTCGCCCTGTTCGGATACTGTTTATTCCTCACCTGGACCATCGCTTGTGTTTCGGATTACTCTTCAGTCTTGCCCTCTATATACCTGTTTGCCATTGTCCAACCCTTGCCTGTTTTTGACTATGTTTCAGAATAAAGCTTTGCACATGGATCCGCATGCCTCTCGTCTTGTTTGCCCCGTAACAGAAAGAATGTATTTTATCTTTAATGTAAAAAAATGTAAATGACTAAACTAATATGCATTCAATCTCTGTTTTCCACTCCCTGAATTTGTTTCACAATTATCTCCAGCAGTCATACTGAATATGTTAACATGGTTAAATCTTTATTTAAGATAGCTATCATTGACTTTGCCACATGTGGGGAAAATGTTGTAACCTGATCAGACTTGTGCTGTAACATCACATCTAGCTACATGTAGGCACAGAGGTGGCTGCCTTGCGCTTTACAGCTGATTTTTGAACATGAAGTCCTCGGGAGCTTGTTGTCGTCAAGATCACCGTATACGGGTCCACACAGACACAGGCATTTTGCTCACCTTCAGATTGCTTCCAGGGAGGATGGCCATTCCCTCCTTCCAGCCCAGAACATGGACAATCGTCCCTCCAACCTGCGCAGGAAGTGATGCGGCCTCCAGTTCACTGCCTTTAATCGGCTTGATTGCATTTGGAGGCAGCTCCACTTTTGGCAATGGATGAGCAGAAACTTTGGAAAAATAAAAGTTTTAAGAGTAAATACTGTCTTATCCACAATATGTAACACCTCTGGAGAAATGGACTAAAAACAATTTTTCAGGAGGAGTATGTTAGAGGTCGACCGATTCATCGGTTTTGCCGATTAATCGGCACCGATAGTTGATTGGCGGAACTATCGGTTATTGGCAAAAATCAATGCCGAATGAACTTCAAACTCATTTATGCCACATTGTTCATTCTTGAAGCAAACTTATGTCCGTTTGGTGATTAAATAAACCGTTTTAGACCGCTGCTGGAATTGAAAGTGACGCTTATGGTGTGTGACTTCTCCGAGAACGCAGCAGGGCTCTACACTGCGACCATTTCAGTTGCATTTATCGGTTGATTAATCGGTATCGGCCAGTGTGGTCCAACCTAGCTATCGGTATCGGTAAAATCCACTATCGGTCGACCTCTAGAGTATGTTCATTTAATACTGTCAACCAAACTGCAAGAAAATATAAACACAGGATCAAGTCTCAAGCTCTATCCCTACACCTTGGACAGCAAGCCAAATCTGTTTAGAGTTTTAGTTTTAAAAGAAAATGAAATGTGAAATTTAATTAAATAAATGTACTTTCTATTCAACTGTAAGCACCTGGAAAAATTATTGTGGAAGTATCCTGGGTTTTCAGCCGCTGTGCAGAACTGTCATTGGGAGCGTGAGAGACGCTGCTTTCAGACGGGACATCTGCATCATGTGGCAAGACATCCAGGTCTGCTTTGGCACTCATAGCAAGACTCTGCTCAGTACCACTAACAACAGAGGATTGAGGACATCATGATAGAACAGAGGCCATTTCACTATTCACATGCAACACTGACAGAGAACACCATTTCCCTTCAGAAGTAGGAGTTTTTTTTTTTTAAATCAAGGGGCTGGATATTTGAAAATACATTTTGAATGCTATTACACAGCAAATTGAACAGCAAAGTTAAAATGCTGCAGTTTATCAGACGTTTTAAGAGGAAGACATTAGTCATTTAGGAGGATCATTTCTGCCATTCCTTTACAAAAATGAAAGAGAAACAGGACAATAACAAAGAAGAAGCACAAATGTGACCATGGACCACAAAGTCTTAAGTGTCAATTTTCAAAATTGAGATTTATACATCAAAAAAATCTAAATATTGAGAAAATCATCTTTAAAGTTGTCCAAATTAAGTTCTTAGCAATGCATATTACTAATCAAAAATTAAGTTTTGATATATTTACGGTAGGAAATTTACAAAATATCTTCATGGAACATGATCTTTACTTAATATCCTGATGATTTTTGGCATAAAAGAAAAATTGATAATTTTGACCCATACAATGTATTGTTGGCTATTGCTACAAATATACCCCAGCGACTTAACACTGCTTTTGTGCTGCAGGCTCACAAATGATGTTGATGCTCAACCCATAATCTGATAGTGATGGTGATCCATAATCCATAATCTGATAGTGATGGTGATCCATAATCTGATGGTGGTGGTGATGAGGATGGAGCATAAGTGATGGTGATGATGCTCATAAACCAGTGGTGGTGGTGATGATTATGCATAATGCATAACTGATGGTGGTGATGTGAGAGAATCTTCCATTCCATTTCAAAAAGCATCAGTTCCAGCGCATCCTCTCCTCTCCCCAAAATAATCTTTACCAGTGCAAAATGGCGGAAGTCCATGTTCCTGTGCAGTAAACTGTAAAGTAGGCGAACCATTCATTATTTCATTCCGCTCTTGACTGAAAGACTGCTTTATGAGGAACATCCGATTCCGATGCATTTGGAAGGAAAAGACAGATGCGCTCCGTTATGATGATCGATATTAAAACATATGCTGTAATTTCAAGGCAACCTCAGCTTAATTGCTAATTATTAGGGTTACTTGATCATTTCGTGAAGGGAAAATACGATGAAACGTGCGTCATTATAAGTATCCAGAAATGCATGCAAAGTAAAGTATATTTATATGGAACGTGCATGAATGGCATGACATGAATAGTGTGTAATGTGAAGGCGATCAGATAATGAATTTATTCTCACCAGTGCTGGTCCTGCTCGGGAGGAATGTGATCTGCGCATGCGCGCATCATGAGCGCACAATCCTTTGATGTTTTGAAAAGTGTGTTGCATTTATTCTACACAACTTCACATGTGATAGTGTGCAGCGTATGAGATCTCTGCTGTGGGGATTGTTTTGATGCGACATTAATTTAAAGTTGAATTGACATTACTTCAGTTTTCTCTTAGTTGAACTTCCTTCCCGATCCATTCTTCATCCTGATTCTGCTTTTGAACTCATCTGAACCATCGATGTGGAAGTTAAACAGACAAAAATGTTGTACATAATACTTAAACATCCTCTACGTATTTCTTTAATTTATTTATTATTATTAGACTTTGCTGTTCAAACATAGATAAAGATGCGTTTTAAAAATCATAATACTGAACATTATGTTGTGTAAAATCGGTTAAGACACACCACATCATCAATACTTTGTGTAAATCGGTCACACAATCATGTCACACAACTCACCATTTAATACAAAGCCTAAAGTGAAACTTCCCCACAAAGAGAGTTTACTGACATTGTTATTGGACTTAGTATTTATTACATTTGGCTTTGAAAGTACGAGAACACACATTTTGCTTTTCAGTTGAATAATCCATGAATAAATCTCATGACACCTTTCAAGAAATATTCACCACAAATATAACTTGGATATCATTAATAAAATTAGTGTGGCAACGTCATAAACATACAGTGTTGGGGAAAGTTACTTTTAAAAGTAATGCATTACAACATCGCATTGCTCCAAAAAAAGTAACCAATTGCGTTACTTAGTTACTACTGTTCATGGAAAGTAATGCATTATGTACTTTTGCATTACTTTTTGTCACCTGTACTGTAATGGCAACTGTAATGGCCCTTTCACAGCAAAAGTGAAAATAATAAGCCTCAGGCTGAGGGAAGTGCCTCTGATTTCTCTCAACACGGGGACTGAGGACAAAGTACCAAAATAACTTTCGTTACTTATTTGACAAAGTCATTGTACATGTAAATGTCATTGTACATGTAAAAGTAATGCGTTACTAGTTACTAGATTACGTAATTAGTGTTACTTTTAATGCGTTTCCCACAACACTAAACATAGCACAGCACAGCTCATGAATTTTTGCAAACCAACTGTTAACAAACTACAAGGCAAAATAAAGTGTATGGCAAGTGTTTTTATTGAGTGAAGACAGAACACGAGAGTGCAGTTCTGATGGATGTCGAGGCTAGCAGAGGTCGTCACCCTCAGGACACATTTTAAGCTCTTCATCCATGACCACGTCGACTCTTTCAGCGTTGATATCTAGGGCATTTTGCAACAATCTGGGATGCTCCTGAAACAACCACCACATAGATAAATGCTTGTGGACGCAACGGTTTCTTTTGTGTTCACATAGACACTTCCAGCTGCCAGACTTGGTGTCAAACGAGACGCGTGTCCTCCCAAACTGACACCATTTGTCCTTGAGGTCTGTGTACACAGAAAAGTAGACACATCTCTCTGGAAGGTCATGCTCCCCCCAAAAAATAGGGTACACACAATCGGCTCCCTCTAAACATGCCCTGGAGTTCATCTCCTGGCACTCTTGTTTCTCCGATATGGACAGGAGGTGTTTGTCGGTCATCTCCTCCAGAGAGCTGACACACAGCGGTGGAGGGGGAACGTAGTGCTGCGCGTGATTAGTTCTCACGAGGTGACGGCACTCTTTACCAGGATTCCCGCTCTGGGCCTGTGCTCTCATGAAATCCCAGCATTCCTCCAGCTCACACAGCAGTATCTGTAAGGCGAAGGATTTGCGGATATGAATGGGCACTCTAGGTCCGTGCAGATCCTTAGGTGTAACATAGATGGCATTTTTGGCATCTATGCATAACATGGGCGGCTGGTTCTGGCTGTGCTGTAGTCTCTCGTGCCGTCTCAAATTTGATGTGGTGGTAAAGAAGATGCCACACTTCTGGCACGCTGACTTGTTGCCCGGAGTCTTGTCTTCGTTGTCTGTTTGTTGGCTCTCCAACAGGACTGTTGTAGGTTGTAGCTCAACTGGAAGAGGGAAAAAAACCTGTTTAGATAAATCCTAATTTGTGACCCTGGAGCATAAAACCAGTCTCAAGTCGCTGGGGTATATTTGTAGCATTAGCCAACAATACATTGTATGGGTCAAAATTATAAATTTTTCTTTTAAGCCAAAAATCATTAGGATATTAAGTAAAGATCATGTTCCATGAAGATATTTTGTACATTTCCTACCGTAAATATATCAGAACTTAATTTTTGATTAGTAATATGCATTGCTAAGAACTTAATTTGGACAACTTTAAAGATGATTTTCTCTATATTTAAATTTTTTTGCACCCTCAGATTCCAGATTTTCAAATAGTTGTATCTCGGCCAAATATTGTCCTATCCTAACAAACCATACATCAATGGAAAGATCATTTATTCAGCTTTGAGATGGTGTATAAATCTTAATTTCATAAAATAGACCCTTATGACTGGTTTTGTGGTCCAGGGTCACATTTGGGATATAGAGGTGTCCGAAACTAAAATAAGGCTGAACGATGTGAAATTTGAGAATTTGTTACACATCCAGGGGTCAGGAGCGTCCAAACCTGTTCCTGGAGGGCCACTATCCTGCAGAGTTTAGCTCCAACCCTAATTAAACACAGCAAAAGCAGCCAATCTAGAGCTATGTTCGAAAACGCCCCCCTATATACACTCATTCACTATCAGTCCACTAATGTAGTCCAGTTGAAGTGAAGGAAAACGTGAGTGAATTCGGAAATGCAGCAGAAGAGCTGCCGCTTTTTCATAGTTTGTGCTTGCTGTTTAATAATCATTTGAAAGAGTTTGCAAACTGGCCGCTCCGGTAGTAATGAATAGCTTGTATAGGAACCTCCATTAAAGAGGACATCGGATGAAATGTTCACTTTTTTAGCTTTTTTTGCATTTCGTTAGGTTTCCGGCGTCTCTGCCAGCTCAGAAAAGCTGAAAAGAAAACACGCAGTTATTTCGTTATGGGCTGTCTGAGTCTGAAACCGTATCATTCATTTCAATCTGCAGCAGGTTTCTACGTAGATAGCTAGCTAGCTATTTGAATAAGCCCCCCTCCGAGCCATATACGGAGTCCAAGGCAGCAACTGCGGCGTCTTGTGTCGACACGCCCCACAGAAGAGAGGGGCGGGGTGAGCAGAGCTCATTAGCATTTAAAGAGATATGCACCAAAATGGCTCGCTGTGAACACGACCGTTGAGGAATTTTAACCAAAGTATGTTACAGACATTTCATGAAGACCCTAAAGAATCACACCAACTTGTGGAGAACGGCCATCCGATGTCCCCTTTAAACTACTTAATAATCAATTAAAAAGACATTTATACCTGTATGATATTATGCTGTAACCACTTTGGACCAGCGGTTTGGAAAATGAAAGGACTGATGATTCAACTGCAGGCGCCATCTTCTGACGAGACATGGGAGTTCATTCAGCATGACCCTTACAGTGCATTATGGGTATTCTCTAGCCGCTGAGAGTTCATCGGTTGTACACTCATTATTGTGGTGCATTATGGGATTGATTGAGTACAATCAATAATGTCCACTACGGTTTCGGACAACACTTCAAATGGCTGTTCTCTCAAATAGTGCCCTATATAATGGTATAGGGGGCAGCACAGCACAGGTCTTCAGAATTTACTAGAAACTTCCATTTAAGTGTGCTGGAGACCCGCTGTCCTGCAGAGTTTAGCTACAGCCTCAATCAAACACACCTGAACCAGCTAATCACGGCCTTCAGAATCACTAGGAAAAAAAGAATACATAAACAGCCATGTGAGCTGGAGAAACTGCGTGGAGAAATATTCTACCCTCACGAGAAATTCCAGACTGTGTGTTCCAATTGGAACTTTTGAATTTCGTCTGTGAAAATTCACAGAACAATGGTATGTGTGCACACCTTTAGGAGGCGCCGTCATACAAAACGGTTACTGACTGAATGGGCAGCTGCTGTGGTGTTGCACACAGCCAATAATTTGATCAGTGGATGAGCGCTATTGAAAATGATTAAATGCCATTGCTCACCTGTGGATTTGTCAGTCATCTCAACACCTGCAGTCGTATGAAACATATTTGAAGAACATTAATTAACAAGAATTAACTTGGATGAGCTAAAAAAAACATGGTTTGTTTCTATTCTACAATATGGACAATGCCAATAATAATAAATGAGTATGTGTATACGGTGTAAACTTTTGACTGGTAGTGTATATGTAAATATTACTATACAGTCCGATACATACTTGATATTCCATTTTTTTAACTTCTTATATTGTAATTTAAAGAGAAAGTAGTACAGTCCACTCCTCTAAGAAAATTTTAAAAATTCAAGAAATGCATTTTAATAGACACAAACCGTGGTTGGTAATATGGATTTTGTAATCCTTTGTCCTTTGCAATATTTTTGAGCACATTGGGCAATGCCAGTGGCTCCTGCCATGGCCTCCATCAGAACAATAACACGGGATAGAAAACTTCCCTGTCAGAAAGAACAGACAGCATTAGAGTTGAGAACGGGTGTAAAACACTACCTCTCTGCAAGATGTGTGTTGTAGAAACGGTTACTGGTCAATTACCAATGCCAGAGTCTTTATAATACACAGCGAATCTGAGATGTCTCTTTTTGAGGTGATGTTTAGATGCAGTCACTGGATTCCTACAGTACAGACAGTCAAGATCCTTCATCACGCCGAAAAGCTCCTCTTCATCAACAAACACAAACACTCGCTCTGTAAAACAGTCAATAAAATACATGAAATACAAGCTTTATGGAACCATTTCCACTGAGATACGTGATTTCCTGAACTTCTAGTGAATTATATTTTGATATTTATGACAGTGTTTAACTGATGCTTTAGACCACTGAAGTAATGTTAATCACAGACCTTATTTTACCCAAAAATCTGCATTTTAAAACCCTGCGAAAAGTAAAATTCAAAACCTTCTCCAGTTTTTAGAGTACAAACTTTAAACAAACCTATAAGTCTATACACATATACTTCATATGTATAAATTATACATCTTGCATATTATGTTTATTGTTACTAACTCATCCTACATACAGTTTGTAGTCTTATTTTCTATCTTATTATAATAATTTCTAATAAATGCATTATACTCACCAGTCATGACTATTTAATTCCAGAGCCTAAAAATATATTTAAAAGACAGAATTAATTACAAGTACCAAATACTATTTATAATGTGCCCTGAAAACTCCATGACAACAATATACTACTATTGTTACTACAGTAAAATTAAGGGGATTTGGTATTAATAACCACTGTGCAGTCAATGCATAAATTACACACAACAGACTGCAAAAGCTTCTTAGAATTTTATCTCATATTAATGCATTATTTACAGTAGGAACAATAACTGGCATTTTAGTGTAAAGTATGGTCCCCATGGTGGTTTTGGTAATAGTAATATCCTTTCAAGCGTTTACTTAGAACCAATACTGACCTCCCAGATGCAGATGTGTGGATGTAAATCAGTCAAATTCCTCGATACAGATTTTCTAACGATGATACCACAATTTTAAGAGCATTGAAAAAAATATATAATAAGAAATAAAACAAGCGACTGAGCTGCTGTGCGACGCCGAATGTATGACGCCGAGTCACGTGACTGTCGCCTTTTGAAAGACGTGCTGCAGCTGTTAACTAAACCCTGCTGGAAACACAACACCATTTAGTGACTGGCGGTGCCAAAAAGCATGTATCCCATTCAAAAATAACAATGCATTCTGGCGATAACGTACAGTTACATATCCTTACTTGTCGCACAGCAAGAGACGACACTTAGGTAAGCTACATCATGTGCATTTCATACATTTAACAGCCCAGGATACAAATAAACAAACGAGAACTCTTGATTTTGCAACCGTGTGTCATGTACAGTAAATTCACTTGTGATTCATAATTCAGGCGCACCAAGCATAGTGGCATTTTAAAATTTAGCAGCTTTTTAAAAATATATTAAATCTCTCAAATAAAAAAACCCACATAATTCAGTATCTATGGCCACGTTCACACAGCAGCAGAATACGGTTCTCAGTCCTGTATTTGAGTCCTTAATACGGTTACGTTCACACAGTACACAGGCGTTACAACCACATTCTGTAACCGAACTCACACTCCTTCAGAGGCAGCATTTCAAGGCAGGAAGGCATCACGTCCGAATCCAAATTCTGCTTCACTTCCTGTCTCCAGAGGTACCTTCTTCTGTTATGATCGGATTTTGAAGGCAGCATGTGAGTCATTCTATAATTAGGGGTACATGTCATGTCCATGGACTCCATTATCAATTTTACAAATTTTTCATTAACTTTTCACTTCAAGCAATGATCACTTTTATATCAGGGGACATTTCTAATTAATTTAATACAAAAATCCAACAGATACCCATCTTTTACCTTGCAAAAATGGCATATTCTATACTGGAATTTTTTTGTACTGTCCAATTTGGTAAATGTGAGGGTTTTGCTCTTTAGATTAGCTCTAAAATACATGTTTCTGTATATATTTCTTATAAATATTTGTCTAAAATAATCATTAAATTATGAGAAAGGTGTTTTAAAAAATATTTTGCTCATGCATCTACATTAAATCATCCATTTTGTATATGTCCGAGAAATCAGTGTCAACTGTATTACTCCCTATAAAAACCCCCCTATAAATCAGCAATGGTTTGTTCCAAAGTCACATGTCCAACATCACGTGATGTAATTTCCTTTTTTGGAGGGAAATTTGAAGACAGTATGGTAAGTCATAACTTCTCCTCTTCAATATTTTTTCTATATTATTGTCTGCACATAGAGTAGATTAATTGACCGTCAACTGTGTTATCACCATGTTCTGGTGAACTTGCGTCACATGTTATATTTATAAATATGTAGAGAAAGAATATAAAAACATACGTTAATCAAGGTCATGTACTAACTAGTCCAAGGTCAGCAGTTTGCACAAGGCCCTACAATGGCCGCAATGTCAACTGTGTTAACCATCAACTGTAACACAGTTGACAAGGATTAACACGGTTGACAATGTTGGCAGTTCAGTGTCAATTTATGATTCCACTGAGTGTTGTTGATAAAAAAAAATATTCACAAACTATTGTCATTACACAGAAATTACACAGGAATTGCCTAAAACCATGATTTGCATTACAATGGATAAACTTAACTGATCTAATCATGGCCACACTTTCTATGAACTGACTCGCTAGGCCTGAATAATCGCACCAACAGTTGTCTTCTTCTCACCAAGCTTCTTGTTGATGGTCTTGTAGCCCATTCAAGCCTTCAAGCTTTGACAGCTCTTTGGTCGTGCCCATGGTGGTGGGAAAGGCAGGAATGGAAGATACAGATTGTGTGGACAGATGTCTTATACACCTAACCAGCTGACATTAGGAGTAACTTCTTAAAGTGACAGGACTAATCTGTGTTCCACATGGGCACATAACCAGTCTGTGGGAGAATTCTTGCTGGTTGGTTGGGGATCAAATACTTGTTTCACTTACTGAAATGCAAATCAATTTCTAACCTTTATATAATGTGTTTTTTTCTGGATTTTTTGGTTGGTATTCTGTCTCTATCCGTTAAAATAAACCTACCATAAAAATTACAGACCCTTCATTTCTTTGTAAGTGGGCAAACTTACAAAATCAGCAGGGGATCAAATAAATATTTTCCCCACTGTATATTACAATGATTTCATGGAGTATTCATAAATTCGATATGACTCCATGATTTGAAATAAGCCTACCATAATATTAGAGTGATTTGTGTTTTAGGGAGATGGGTTTATCTGCTGCTGAGAAACAGCGCCAGTATAGGGCTCGGCGTGATGCTGATCCTGAGAGAAGGGCTGCATATTTACAGAAACACAGTGAGAAGTGGCATGATGACAGAAAGCTAGGAAAGGTGAAGACAATGAAAGATTTAAGTGAGAGGGAGAAGAAAAGGAAAAGATCATACTGGAAAAGAGCCCAGCGCCAGACCAGAGAGAGAAATAAAGTGATAGAGAACCAGGTTACTCCACCTCAGAGTCCTGAAGTTGGTCCTCAGTCTCAAATGTCGAGGTACAGGTTTATTGAGCAGATAATAGGGTTCAACAACAGATTTTATTATGAAATCACAATGAAAAGACCAGAATATCAGCGTAGCATTCTTTGGAAGGCATAGAACACATGATCATGATGAGCATGGACAAATCACATGATCAATAAAAAATTATTTGTTTATTATTTCAGACAGAGAACAGCTGGAAGGAGAAAAGTCAGGAGAAGGGAGTATAAGTTGTACAGGGAGATTCAGGCTCTGAGGGAAACCCTAAAGCAACAGAAGAAAAAAAACTGACAAATTCAGGAAAAGATGTGAAAGACTACAGCAATATACAGACAGTCACCCAGATCAAAAACCCGGCGCCTGTTAGGAAGGATACCCATGTCTAGAGAAGTCTGCAAAACTTTAGTTTTCATCACGCCCTAATACACAACATCAGCAAAACGTATGCCTCTACCAAACACAAAAATACTAGGAAGATCATTGCATGAGCTCCGATTCATTGGGGGTACTGACTGTGACTCAAACTCAAAAGTATTGTATGTACAATGAATGCCCTGCCTGCAAAAATAAAGACTTCCCAGTTGCAAAGCAAGCAAGTGTTTTCTTCACACAGTGGACAACTGAGACTGTTGTCAGAGAGAAGAACAAGGAAGGTAAAAAAGAGAAAGTGCCTGTTAAGATCACAGTGAAAAAGAGGACAGAGACGACTTTGCAGAACCTCCTCGAGCTCTTCCATCACCAGCTTACAAACTTCAAAAGACATCTCTTTAACATAAAACAGCAATTCACCTACTTCCGGGAACTAAAGAAGAACATGACAGATCGTGAATGCTTAATTCATGTAGATTTTTCGGAAAATTATGCCTGCAAGTACTCCTCTGAAATCCAAGCTGTACATTTTGCATCCAGCCAGCAGCAGACAACACTCCACACTGGAGTTCTACATGTTGGTGGAGTGGATGAACGTGTGCTTTGGCACAATCAGCCTGTCAAAAGCGAAAGGCCCTGCTGCCATATGGACCCATCTATCCCCAGTACTTGACCTGGTTAAGTTCATATCCAAATGTTACTGTGGTGCATTTTTTCAGTGATGGGCCAAGCACACAGTACAGGCAGAAAGGCAATTTCTATCTATTCTGTACTAGGCTACAGCAGTGTTGTTTTCAGTCAGGCACCTGAAACTTTCTGGAGGCAAGCCGCGCGGCAAGGGTGCTCCAGATGGTGTTGAAGGCTTTTTAAAAAGGACCGCAGACAGGCTGGTCAGCCACGGAAAAGACATGCCTAATGCTGAGCTCTTATTCAGTGCACTGCTGGATGCTCAGATGTCAATAAAGTTGTTCTACATAAGTGAAGAGAACAGAGATGAGGCCATAAAGAGCATGCCCAATAATCTCCCAGTGGTGCCATCAACCATGAGCATTCACCAAGTCATAACACTTACCCCAGGACAAATCATTTACCGCGATGTGAGCTGTCTTTGCTCAACAAGACAGACCATGGAGTGTCAGTGTTACAACTCCAAAACCTTTACCTTCGAGGTTCAGGTAACAGCATCCACACAGGAGGGCAAGATCCAGAATCCATCTGAAATTCCTTGGCAAAACTCTGATATCATCGGCCAGTGGTACTGTGTTAAATATGATGATGAAATTTATCCCGGAGTGATTCAAGATTTTAATGAAACTCATGTCAATGTGAAATGTATGCACCGGATTGGAGTCAACCGCTTTTTCTGGCCATGGCAAGATGATGTCCTATGGTGTTTGCATGAAGATGTTATCAGAATGATTCCTCCTCCTACTTCTGTGACCTCTCGTCATATGGAAATTGACAGGAACATATGGTCTAAGATCTCAGACTTGTGAACTGACTGAAAACACAACTGAAAGAAAAGAAACGAATGAAAGAATGACTGAAAGCACACAAAAGAAAACACAAAATATTGACAATAAAATCAGTTAAGGATTACTTAGTGAATGAGAAGAAGAAACAAAAAGAACAAGAAGATTAAATACAATCAGTTGGAAATGCAAATGACTTCAGAAAGTACTGTTATAGAAACCACAGAGACATGATACATCACATACACACATATGGATTATACAGACACCAATGAGACATGCCTCAGAATCCAATGAAACACACATCTGGACTAGCCAGACTGTTCTTGTTTGCAATAGACACTATGGATTAAATGTTGTTCGTTGTTAAAGTTGTAATCATTTCACTGTAATTCATTTCACATGTTTTAACCTTTTTTTTAACTGAACTCCGATTAATTGCTTGTACTTACATTTGCTGAATAAAAATAAAGTTTTTATCTTAAATGTATCTTTTTTCTAATGTGTCCTGTCAACTGTGGTTTTTTTCTGTCAACTGTGTAATGTGTGGTTTTTATGTCATAAATCTTTTAAATGTGAACTAAACTGACAGAAAAAAAGATGGGGATATTTCTGGAGATGGTCGTCTTGGGTAAGGGTGGTGAATAACACTAAATTCAGCATACTGTGGATTTATGTTGAAGAAAAGTTCCATCCTTCATGATAGCATCCCACAGAACGCCCATTAGGAAGCCCCGAATTC